AGTATAAAATGTTCGGTGACACCCGAACTTAGCCCTTCCTTACTTGTTACATTTACATTTAGTCGATGTTGTTCCCAAGAAGTTGTGGTTCTCTCCATTCCAATCGTTAGGAGAGTATTGACCTTTAGCAGAATAGGTTCGCAGAAAAAGTTCGTTGTTTCGACTGTTCCTTGGTCTCTAGTGTGTACTAGTAGATCCATGCTTGATCGTAGATCTCGAAGCAAATAGAGACCTTTTTGGAGTGTGCTTCAACAACGGCTAATACTGCTGTGAATTGGTTTCATCCATGTACTTATTGTCCGGAATGAGCAAACATGGCACGCCTCACACCGTTTCAAAGTAATTACCGTTTGCCTATATGAAACTGCACGTGAACTTTTGTCAGATTATCCTTTGGTAATCGTTTCGCCGTATCTGAACGGGAATAATAAAAACTGACATGCCCGAGTRACACTTATTTAACACCCTAGAAAGTTCTTATATGTACTATCAGTAAATTTCATGTTCTRAGAAATATAAGTAGTATTAATTTTTAAATCGAATTAGAATTTTATTCTATATATAACACATAATCTCAATGTAAGGTCTAAAAACCAACAAAATTCAATAAACATTAAATATGCCTTTCTGTATTTCAGGTGCTAACAAAAAATACAATGGCATTGCCGACTGTGTCAAGAAGACTATCAAATCTAATGGTTTCTTTGGTTTGTATCGTGGCTTGAGTGTGCTGATCTATGGCAGTATTCCCAAATCTGCAGCACGGTGGGYTTACATYAGAGTTTATTACTTTTTCTACTTTTACTAAACAYTTTTTTGGTATTATAGTTTTGGTGCTTTCGAGTTCCTGCGCAGCAACATGGCYGATTCCAATAATCAGCTCAGTAATTCGGGCAAACTTTTATGTGGTCTTGGTGCTGGCGTGTGTGAAGCTGTTTTGGCCGTGACACCCATGGAGACTGTCAAAGTGAAATTCATYAATGATCAGCGCAGCGCAAATCCACAGTACCGCGGTTTCTTCCATGGCGTCAGCACAATTGTGAGGCAGGAAGGTGAGAACTAAAATTTAGTTTATTGCTCTTTATGATTTTTATTACTTTTCTTTGCCATTCAAGGTCTGGGCGGTGTATATAAGGGTCTGACACCTACCATACTTAAACAGGGCTCGAATCAGGCGATACGTTTCTTCGTTATGGAATCATTGAAGGATCTCTATAAGCGCGGTGATCACGARAAGACCGTGCCGAAGCTGGTAGTGGGCGCATTTGGTGCGATCGCTGGTGCCGCCTCGGTATTTGGCAATACACCACTTGATGTGGTGAAGACACGTATGCAGGGTTTGGAGGCGTCCAAGTACAAAAACACTGCTGATTGTGCGTTGCAAATTTGGCGCAATGAGGGCGTAACGGCCTTCTACAAGGGCACGGTGCCACGTTTGGGTCGTGTCTGCTTGGATGTGGCCATTACATTCATGATTTACGACTCCTTCATGGATCTGTTCAACAAGGTTTGGAAATAATAGACAACAAAACGGCACCAGCATTAGTAACTTAACGAAAATATATCCAGAAAGTTGTTGTAAAATTATTAGTAATCTAGAACATATCCATGTATGCGATCACGTGCTGTTGCTCTCACATATACATACATACAAACGCATACGTATATGAAGATACAATTGTAAATTAGCTGAAATGTGGAATAGATTTAAATGAATGGAAGTTACACACCTACATATTTACATATATATGTATATACATGTATATGCAAATGTGAATGAAATATATACAGCAATTACTTCCTAGTCAATTTAGCCATTAAACGGGCTCATACAACATTTTAAATGGACAAATTAACATATACATTTTCGTCATTAGGCAAATATGAAGAATTTACAACGGATTTATGTACATGCAGGACAGTTGAACTGAACATTAGCTTGGGCCAAATATACACACATATATCATATATAATACATATATACTTACATACATATATAAGATCGCTTCAAACAACTGGAAGAAGTTGCATTCTAGTAATTAATGTAGCTTAAAAATTGAATAGTGTCATTATGCTCCTTCAACCGTTAATTGTTGTCTACATATGTATGTGTATGTATACACATATATAAATATGTAAATATTTATAAACGAAAGCATGGCAAAGCGTGTCTTCAGTTACTTGAAACATTCTAGCACTTTTTTAGAAATCTATATGTGTATATATAATATATGAGTACACAGTCTAGTGCATTTGTAAATTATAATTATTTATATGGTGTAATTTGATTTGATGATGCATTTACTTAAACATTTGTAAAATAAACGACACAAACCTATGTCTRTTAATGGTAAATTCAAAGAAAAAGATATTAAAACTGCTTTTATTCAAAAAATAGAAGTATATAAATATGTAGTGAAGCCGATGTACATACTTACATGTTATTAGATGACCTGCAAAACCCTTTGCCCTTTGTAATAAAGCTAAGGGCTTTTTGAAAGAATATATGTGACCTGGTCCACGAAAAGGGAGCTAACGTGCGAAAATTAGGTTATGACTTTTTGGATTCTACATATCACGTGAAAAAGCATCTTATCTCCCATCCGAATCAATTTTTTGACACCTAAGCCCCCTTTCCATAGACCAGGTCACATATGACATTATTCTGCCACCTAATCTCCATTTGGAACGGCGAAACATTTTTGCCACTCTGTTTGATTTATCTCCAAAACATGCGTCCTTAACGCATCAAGCATCGCATCGAGTGTCGTAAAACGTCGACCTCCCAGCATATTTTTTACGTACGGGAATAATAAATTCGCTCGGTATTAGGTCAGGACTATGTGGTGGACCACTAATCTTCGGTGGTTGGTTTTCCTGATTTCTCGAAAGAAAACTGTTAAACAATGATTGAGTACTACAATTTTCTGTTTCGTGTTGTTCAAGTATCTCCAGACTGGTTAAGGAAGCGAAGAAAATGAGTGTAGTGGTGAACGAGGGGAAGACGAAATATTTCAAACAAACACTCGTTGCACTCGCGACTTGGCTCACAAGTCACACCAACAACCTGGAAAACCAACACTGAATAACTTTTGCCAACGGGTGCTACTTCGGGTTAAGTACGCAATTGAGAAGTAAAGTCCTCTCTCGACGAACAAAAACCATCTATAAGTCACTCATTATTCTCGCATTGCTATATTGTGCAGAGGCATGGATGATGTCAAATTTTGATGAGCCGACGAGTTTTCGAGAGAAAGGTTCTGCGAAGGATTTATTGTCCTTTGCGTGGTGACCACTGTAAAAACCGTAGTCCATGGACATTTCCTACTGGAGATTAGAAATTTTTTAGTAAACTTAATATACCATGTTCATGGTATACATATAGCAGCGTTCGCAATAAGGAGTAATTAAAATGCGTTCGTATAATAGGAACATCAATAAGATAATTCTAATTGTGCGTTAAACCTAGAATTCGTTAGTTATCGACGTGAGTAYGTAGTTAACATGAAATTTTTATTTATAACATAAAAATTTGTATAACAGCAACTTAATAAACAATGATTGGTGTATATAAAATCCAAATATTTAAAAATAAATATTATTGCAAATAAGTAGTATAAGTTGTAGCGCAGCACTGCAGCTCCGTAGATTCCACTAAACACGTTTGTTTGTAATTTAGCTAACTTTAATTATGTGCGCAAATATTACACCTAATTATTTATTTATTTTATTCTTTGTTGAATCCTGCTTACTTGCACTTCYCGAATCCAGACCCCAAGCTCACACATTTGTTTATCGTATGACATTCAAAGGGATTGTGGAATGTTTGCTCGACAGTATGCGCCCCAATTTCTCCTCGAGCGGACGACTCAACTCATGCCATGTACATTTGCCAATAAGCGCCACTTCCTCTAAAGGTGGCCGAAATACTACCAACACATTCAGGCAAATACCGTCGCTCGTGTATGGCATTGGCGAGGGACAATGTTCGACGCTGAGTATGCCGTGTGGCCGATGTTGTGGCAACTCCGCGCCAAATAGYTCGATCATAAATTTGCGTAGCGTTGAGTGAAGACTGCGCTGTGGATGCACTTCGACCGTGGGGAAATGATGCACATTCTTTTCACTAACAAGCACATTCAACGAATTCGTGGCACGTTTGCGTATCACCGCGACCACACGCAAATAATTTTTGTGATGAGAGTACTTTGTTGGCAAAACATCCGGGTGATAGGATGGCGCCTGCGGTGACGAGTTACGTTCGTTATACGAGCGGCCAATGTCGATTAAATTTAGAATGTCATTAGCGCGTAACGGCAACTCAGACAGTCTGCCGATCCATTTCGCCTGTAATGACTCGTTATCCGCCTGAGCGGGTGTCTTCAACTGGCCGCCTGTGACGCGACCGGTGAGCACAAAACGGAACCATGAGCCGCCCGCCACTTCGATGGCCAGYAGAGTTGTGATATCCACATTTAGACCAGTTTCCTCATAAACCTCACGCACAGCTGCCTCGCAAATGGTCTCGCCTTTTTCCATGCGCCCAGCTGGTAGATACCACTTGCCTGGAATAAGAATAATACAGAGTAAATACTATCACGGGAATATATACATCAAATSATTGCTTACCGGCGCATGATTGCTTAGCCTCTTGCATCATGAGCACCTCATCCCTCTCGTTGAACAATACGCTAGCGACTATATATGTCACCGATTTCCCTAGCACAGGTATGTAATCTGCGGAGGCACTTGGTTGTATGCCCTGCGCCTCGGCTGTGGCATTCTGTTCTTCAAGTGAAAAGTCGCACAGCTCCTGCGTTATATCGCCTAGATCTTGAGCAGCAAGAATTCCGAGGAGCTTTTGTTCAATGCTGTCGGCGCCATTGTGGGARTTGGTTTGGGGCATTTTTAAGCGCAGGCTAGAAAATAAGTTATTTTATTTGAAATATTAAATTTGGAAACCAAAGTAAATTAATAAAATATGCCATCTCATTTTTMATTTTCATACCACTATGACTGAAAAATAGTAACAATTTCTGCACAATTTTTATATTCTTAATTTCTKCTTCAAAATCTTTATCGTTCTTCACCAAGTAATCCCAATACACTTGTGCAACGTTTTTTCAACTCTCGAAATAATTGGTAAAGTCAATTTCCGGAATAGCCTTCAATGCGCATTTAAGGTCTTCAATTAATTCAAAACATTTTCCCTGAAGCGGTCGTTCCAGCTTTATGAAAAGCCAGAGGTCACAGATCTAAGAGAGTCGGCGCGTAATTCCTGCATTTTATACCCTGAACAGGATATATTAAGTTTGTCACGAGGTTTGTAACACCCAGAAGGAAGGGTCGGAGACCCTATAAGATATATATATAAATGATCAGTATGTCGAGCTGAGTCGATTTAGCAATGTCCGTCTGTCTGTCCGTCTGTCTGTATATATAATATACGAACTAGTCCCTCAGTTTTTAAGATATCGTTTTGAAATTTTGCAAACGCCATTTTCTCTTCAAGAAGCTGCTCATTCGTCGGAACTGCCGATATCGGACGACTCTAACATATAGCTGCTATACAAACTGAACGATCGGAATCAAGTTCTTGTATGGAAAATTTGCACATTTCACAATGTATTTCCATAAAAGTTGGCACAGGTTATTTTCTAAAGCAAAAATATAATCTCCGAAGAAATTGCTGGTGCTGGTTTAGAAAACTTTTGCATTTGACGTGGTATCTTCACGAAATACTATATAACTTCTATAATAATAGTATGCTCATAAATGATAAATTTCCTGACCAAGCCACGTACATGTATGGAAAACTTTTCATTTGACGAGATATATTCAATAAATTTTTCGTGACTTATTTTCTAAGGAGCTCTCTGATTCTACAGATTTTATAACCCTGCATACAATAGGTCCAATATTTTCCCATTAGATGTATCTCGGTTTATATAAGGACGGTCGGGTTAGGCTATTTGGCGTTAGAACGATTTCGTATATAGTATAGCTTGAGCATGCGTCAAAGATGGACACCAGCAAGGTGATCCACGATAAAGACAAGGCCGGTGGCTGAAAATGTAAGTAGTGTTTATGATTCGGTTGCGTTAATTTTGATATCGAAATTGTATTAAGCTCTTGAGCGATAAAATAGTAATTGACGATATCGAGAGACATGTACTACCTTAAAGTCATATTCTAAGGTTCTGAGTATTACTTGCTCTTCATTGTAATTTTTATAGATTTAAGCAGTTAGAGGTGCGCAACCTTTGTTAGAAGTCAAATTGAAAAATTTCCAAAACCGATTGCARCTCGGCAGACGACAGCCAATCTCAGAGTGGTGTACCTTTATCGGTCTCGACAATGTTGTATTAAAACAACTTATCGGCTCTTTCGAAGTGGCTTAAAACTGATCTACAMGTTTTACTCTCTTTTCGGTTAACCAAAAAGCGGCTACTAGTAAGAGCTCCATAAAGCACTCATTAGACATGTAATATAAATATATTCGGCTAAGTTATATATAGCCACAACGCTGATAAGTAGGCATTTTGATAAATTTTGTCGAATCCACACGCTTTGTTTTGAGTGAAATACAAGTTTCTAAAGCAATCGACTCGTGTTAAGCAAACATTAACTGACTTAAAACTAGTCTCAAACTAATTAACGTACAAATTTATAAATATATTTACATAATATGTATATAACGATGAGTAATTTTTTCCCGTTTTTTTTTTTTTTTTTTTTTTTTTTTTTTTTTTTTTTTTTTTTTAATTTAAATTTATTTTTTTTTGATTTTTGTGGAGATGACATTAACACACAAAACGCAGAGCAGATGACACACTTCGCCTTATTTCCATTATAACACGCCTGACTATGAGAAAATTTGAGAAAATAACAAAATACAATATAAACAACTTATGGGAGAAAATATGGTTAAAATAGTGCATCAAATAGTAGGTAGAATAAGCGATAATTATGGCGGTCGTGATTACAAGAAGTGTCGAAGTTGATGCTCAATAGAAATAAGTATGTATTTCACTAAATGGTTATAGACAAGTGTTGAGTGCACATACTAATTAGTTGAGAAGAAATATAGAAGTGATGAGCACAGCAAAGCGACACAGATTAACAAAAGTTAAGCGAAGAAAACTGCCATTAACAACGAAGTGACAGCACACTGACACACGAAGCTTGGGAAATTACAAATGCGCGCAAAGGAGGGGCACAAAGGTGGGTTGTGAGGCAAAGCAAAATATGTGACAGTTGGCAGTGGCTGGCTGCTGCAGCAGTTGTAACTGCAAGCTGCGTGTGCGCTATAAAGAAATAGGAGACAGACGCGTTTAGCATGTTTATTTGTGGCTTTAACGATAATTATGGTTTCAGCGATTTAACTGAGACTGTTGCAAGCGGATGCAGTTGCAATGTGAATGGTCTCTAAGCGGTAAATAAAGCACACAGCTGACTGAGTGAAAGAGCTTTCGTAAACACTTGCCGCAAGTAGTTGTGGTCGGCACGACAGCACGTTGCGTTGTGACTCAAGTAAAAAAAAAAAATGCAAAAAAAAATTGCTAATATGGAAAAGTAATGCAAGAAGAAAAAAACAAAAAAAAAATTGTAAGAAAATAGAAAAACAACATGTTATAGAATAGCGCGTCTCGCGTACGTGCGCCTGCGCAGTGAAAGAAGAAAGTCATTAGACGGACTACAGAGTCTGTCGCTCAGCATTAGGATGTCATTGTCACAATTTTCACTAAATTTGTATGTACGTAGATATGTGAAAGTGCGCACAACACCAGCGGCCAGTGATCTCTCCAAAGCAGTTTCACGCAAAACGAAGTGTTTAAATGAAAATTCATTACAAACATTTTCAAACAGCATTTCATCAAAATTTGCTTGCCAATAAACTCAAAAATTACGACAGCTCGTACACACACACATATTTACACTTAAGCGCGCAGGTATGCAGGTAAGCTTAGACGCAGGAATGTTGTACCCACACAATTTGTTGTAGAATGTTTGGTATTCCTTATGCAAATTTCAAATAACATCGCACCAAAACAATCAATCGAACTCGTTGGCATGCCTCGAGTTCGTAGCTAACGTCTTTTTGCTAACAATGCACACATAACACTTACATGCAGACCCACCGCTTTTGCTGTTGTTCTTGTTGTTTGTAGCACAATTTCTTTTTATTATTATTTTGTTTCTATAAATTCTTTCGTTTTTTGTTTATTTTGTTTTTCTGGGTGACTTTAAGAATTTCTGTTGACTTTTTGTTTTCGAAGTTTTGCCGTCTATTGCRCGTATTGGTTCACTGCGGTGCGCGTTCTGCGCGAGACACGGTACAATGTTGAATAGTGACTGTTTCTCCAATTGTTTATGCGGTTTGTTTGCTTCTTCACCGAGCGTTGCTGCTGGCATAGGGTAACAGTGTAAAATACCGGTTGTAATTTGCCATGGAAATGTCTTATGCGCACATATGAAGAAGCTTTATAAGCTGCTCTTCGTTTCTTCACATGTTGAAATGCTTTCTTGTTATAGCATTTCGCTTAATTTCGCAGAGAGTACGCTACTAACGTGACGTCATTTCATAGCACTTTTTCATCCAATTTGTCCTGCTTTATACCATTTCGGAGCTCCCATAAATGCTATTTGATCTCCTAAAWTTGAGGAGAGTAGCGACAGGGCTTCGTAAAATATGCGACATTTCCAACGATATTTTATGTTAATAGCCTCTAATAACCTCACACAACAACGCATACTTACAACAAAACGTACCATCATTCTAATAATACAAAACATGACATAACTACAGTCTTAAATAAAAAGTCGAAGCTCAGCTCTATGCGAGAATATATGGTTAAGGTACATTTCCTGCTTTCGAGGTTTACACCTTAATTTGATATAGAGCTAGCTAATAAGTGTAACCCTTTTAAGYATTTCTTTCTTCTAGAGCAGTTGGTTTCAATTGAATTTCAATGTCAMTGTTGTCGTATATCTCAYACAGCTCATCGTTCCATCGAATGCGATATACGCCGCAAAAGATTTGTCTCGAAAACTCGTAAAAGTTGTCATTGTGCATGCTTCTGCTCCATATAGCAGGACTATTCGTCGAAAGATTACTTTACTTCTCAATTGCGTGATCAGTCCGAAGTAGCACCTGTTGGCAGGAGGTATGCTGCGTAGGATTTCGAGGCTGACATTATTGTTGCTGTTAATACTGGTTCAAAGATAGAYGAAATTAYCTACGACTTCTAAGCTATGTCTGTCAACAGTGACGTGGGAGCCAAGTCGCGAATACTATTATATAAAAGCTTTTCATAGCTATATGGTCTAGATKAATATTCTGCTAGGATCCTTAATTTACTAAATATATCTCATTAGTTCATAGGGTTGAAGCAAACATCATTAAGAGGTATATTTCCCTTCTAAGCAGTACAAAGGAAATAATTGCCCTGCCTTAATTGTAATAATTGGAAGATTTATTGCCATGAAAAAACGTCTCACAATAAATTTGGAATAAAGTCTTTAATTTATAGAGCAATGTTTCAACAGATCAGGTGATAAGCTAGTTTAAATACTTATATAAGCTTTATAGAATTTATGGTGGACATAACATTTRTGAATTCGCGATTTGGAAAGCTTTTGAGCTTTTAAACCACAAACTCCAAAAAATATTTTTCTACCACCTTCAGTGACATTTTTAGTAAAATACTAGGTTAAATTATGTTAGRCAATTTTAACTAATCTCTCATCGGGGGCCTGAAAGCAGAACAATTTAGAATAAAGTATTGGAATGATTACATCTCACCATGTTCCAAGACCACTACGATGGTAGAGAATTTCGAGGTGATGTAATATGCAACCTGAAGTCAAATATAAAAGAAATTTTGTACTCGGAACCATTCGGAA